TACAATGCACTTGAAAGCAACAGTGGGTTAGTGTAGCCATAACATGGTGAGCAACTGGGGGAGGGGTCGGTTGCACATGAAGTCAGAGGACGTGGAGTGCCAGCTTGTTGTCTCGATAAGAACCTTGGATTCTTAGTGGGATGGAAAGAGTTTAAGGGTTGGGTAAAGAAGTGACATGGTTTAATTTTTGTTCTAAAAATACCACTAGAAAGAAAAGACCATTCATTCGTTGCTGTGCTGAAAGTATAGTGAAGAGACAAGAATGAGAAGGAGACTAGGGACCGGGGTATGGGAGAACTCTACACTTTCTGCTCAACTTTGCTGTGAACCTAAACTGCTCTAAAAAATAGATTAACTAAAAAACAAAAAACAAACAAACAAACAAAAACCCAACACAGAGGTCATTAAAAAGCTATTCAGTAGTCCAAAAAAAGATAAAATGGTGCCTTGGTCCAGGTTGGTTGTAGAGATAAGATGTGGCTGGAAATGGCAGAAATTTTGAAGGTATAATCAATGGGATTTGCTGAAAGATGAATTGTTGAGATATGAAAGAAAGAGCAACTCTAGTTTAAACAACTAGGAGAATGGACATAAAGGAGGCTGAGAGGTAAGGTTTGGGAATCAGAGATAGAAACTGCATGTTTGCTTTCAGACATATAAAATTTGAAGTGATTATTACATATCCACATGTGTATTACATAGTCTACATGTGGAATAGATGATGGGATAAATGTAGGCACTGTAAGCATACAGATACTATTTAAACTTATGGGATTGGCACTTTCACTTCTGATCCTGAGGGAGTAACAGGGAACAGACTTACCCTCTTACCCTACACACACAAAAAAATGGCATGAAATGTTTGAAACAATAGAGACTGAATAACAGACATCACAGGAAATGATTCCTGAGATAAGGAAAGCAAATGAACAGTGTTTCTAGCACAAAAGCAGTTTTCTGACCACAGCAGTATTATAGAGAATTATGGTTGTATCTAAAAACTGGACATTTGCTAGTGCATATGGTTCCTTAGATAAGAAATCATATATTCATGTTATGAAATTTCATGATATAGGAGGTTTTGTTTACATTGCCAAACTGCTGTCCAAAACAGTGATCCCAATTTACTCCCACCATTAGTGTGTGAGGGCCTATTTCTCACCAAATGCTTACTTCTGCTGTAATCTATTCATACAAGAGTTTAATGTGCTTGGTTAACAAATTTTGGAGTCCACAGTTGTTAAAAAGAGGAAATAAGTTGCTAGAGGTAGGCATCTAATAGCTAATGGAAAGCAGGGAAAGAAAAAAATAACATCTTTCAAGAAAACCCAGGAAAAACAGCTAGTAATAGTGCCATTAGCACTGGCTACTTCAACAGTCCAAGGCAGCCAATGTGTAGCAAAGGAAAATACAATTCTGTTCTAAGGAAAAAGGCTGTTAATCACACCTTGTTCAGGAAAGAAAATGATTGGAGAAAATTGAGAACTTACGGTCATACCAGTTAATTAGAAAAAGCAAATATGAATGTTTCTCATTTCTCAAGAGTGCTGATTTAAGTAATAAACATTATAGCAAAGTTACCCACTGTATTATCAAAAATTTCCTGAAATAGTAGAGGTATAAGAACCTTTGCTGTAATGTAAGGGGAAAAAAAATGAAACAAATATGAAATAAATATAGAAAAGATGAATGGCACAAATGTCTTAAGCTGGTGGTAAGAACCAGGGCTTAGCTTAGGCTCCAGATCCACTTAATGAAAATCTAAGAGCAATTGAGAGCTTTTATTTTCATCTATTTTTATCTCTTAGGTCACAGCAAGTGTACTCTATTTATATTTATTCATCCTGTTATTCCTGGCTCAAACTAGGTTTCTAGACACAAATATGGTTTCTATCTATGGTTTTTAAATTTTGCATTTATGATCTATAAAGCCACATTAAAAAAAAAACCCAACTGTACAGTATTTACACAAGTACTTACAATTTCACATTCTTTACATGTGTGTCCAAGCAATTTTCGTCTGTCTTCTTTTTTCCGAACTACCTCAATATGAGGAAAATTTTGTAAGCTAGTCTCTCTGGGGGGAAAATGAATTAAATTTAAAATTAATCCAACTGTTACCACAAAGAGCTTTGGTTTAGGTTTTAAATTAACAAATGTAAGAGCCCAGAGGAGAAACAATCGCAAACTATTCCTTCATTTTATTTGACATGCTTGTTCACAGAAAATGGTATTTCTTCATTCATTCTTCATTAAATATTTATTAAGTGCCTTCTATATGTCAGGTATTTTTTTTGCTTGTTTTTGTTTTCTCTAATTGTGGCTTCTTTATTTTTTATTTTTTCTCTTTTGGTATCATTAATCTACAATTATATGAGGAACATTATGTTTACTAGACTTCACCCATCACCAAATACCCCCCCACAAACCCCATGACAGTCTCTGTCCATCAGCGTAGTAAGATGCTGTAGAATCACTACTTGTCTTCTCTGTTGTACAGCCCTCCCTGTGCCCCCCACATTATATATGCTAATCATAATACCCCCTTTTCCCTCCCCACCTTATCCCTCCCTTCCCGCCCATCCTCCCCAGTCCCTTTTCCTTTGGTAACTGCTGGTCCATTCTTGGGTTCTGTGATTCTGCTGCTGTTTTGTTCCTTCAGGGTTTTCTTTCTTATACTCCACATATAAGTGAAATCATTTGGTACTTGTCTTTCTCTGCTGGGCTTATTTCACTGAGCATAATACCCTCTAGCTCCATCCATGTTGTTGCAAATGGTAGGATTTGCTTTCTTCTTATGGCTGAATAATATTCCATTCTATATATGTACCACATCTTCTTTATCCATTCATCTACTGATGGACATTAAGGTTGCTTCCATTTCTTTTGTACTGTAAATAGTGCTGCAATAAACATAGGGGTGCATCAGTCTTTTTCAAACTGGGCTGCTGCATTCTTAGGGTAAATTTCTAGAAGTGGAATTCCTGGGTCAAATGGTATTTCTATTTTGAGCTTTTTGAGGAACATCCATACTGCTTTCCACAATGGTTGAACTAGTTTACATTCCCACCAGCAGTGTAGGAGGGTTCCC